CTCTATCAGGGGTCCTTTCTGGGTGCTGGCTGGGTTGTCGGGTTCGCTGGGTCGTGGCGCCCGGGCGGGTACGCCCCCCGGTGCGTGCTGCGGCCCGGCGTGGCCGCTGCCTTGTTCGGTGTCCCAGTGGGAAACCCCAACGCGAGGGACTGGCCGCGTCGCTGTTCCGTAAGTCCGGGATGTAGTCCCGGCTGGGGGAGCGGCAAAGCTAGTATCAAAGAGGGGCGGGTTGGTTGCGTGTGGGTGCGGTCGCGATCGTGCCCTCAGGCAACCTCTCCCGCAACACCCGTGGGAATGGCACTGGAGTCACACTTCTCAATGATTCATTCGGAGAACGGGATATACGGGTGCACGGTGGCCGGTGATAGTCGGCAACGGGAGGCGCGCCGGTGATCCGCTATGGCAACGCTGGGGGTCCACGCCCCCTGATCCGTTAGGCTGAGGCCGCTGTGCACTTAGGCCCCGCTGCGATGAAGGTTCCACTAAGGGGTGTTACCTGAGCTATCGATGAAGCGTACCGCTGGGGGTGCCGGTGCCTGGAACCGCGGGTGGGAGAAGAGCGCAAAAGGCGTGCACTTATTTTCTCCTCCATGCCGCCACTTTATCGTGGTGGAGGGGTACCGGCGATCCGGTGAAGGCTCGGCGGCAGTACCTTTCGGTTTCGGCCGAAAGGGAGGCCCCTACCTGAGGATCGCTGGCGAACGGCGGCAACGGGGAAGGAAAACCCCCACAGAAAACCGGACCGCGGTGGGCTGCAGCCACGCGGTTGCTAAAGAGGAACGTAAGACCCTCCATTGCAGAGGAGCCCGGCGACTCCCACAGAGCCGATGGGCCCGATCGCCGGTAGGGGTAGGCGGCCCTGACTCCAATCGCCCGGCTGGCTGAGGCCGTTAGGTGGGGCTTGCTCCACCATCAGTCTTGGGGGGGGGTTTCGGGGTAGGGGGGACCTCCGCTCCGAGACGGGTAGTCTCCCGTCCCGGGGGAGAAAAAGGTCCCACACGAGTAGGCATTGCACGCCGGTTTAGCAGCCGAAAGTATGGGAGACCCTCGAACCGTCCCTACTCGGGCCTCGGCCTGGGTAGGGTGGGGAGAGGTACCCACACCCGGGATTGCACGTCGGTAGTTTCCGACAACCCGGGGGGGTGGAAGGGTGCGCGGGCCGCTCGGACATATTCCGAGGTCGGGGTCGCGCACCCTGGGTTGGCCATCCCGTCGGAGCTACCCGGAGATTCTCTCCGGGCCGGCGGGACGGGAGGTGAAGTCGCAGGGACCGGTACATTGGCCCTCTCTACATTCTGTAGAGAGGTGCTGCACCCCGGCAACCCTGCGACTCCTCCTGGTCACGACCGCATCTCGCGGCGTGACCGGCCGTGATGGCCCCCCCGTGTGCGCAGCTGCGCACGGGGTATCTCAGGGGTCTGCGTGGCATTTGCCAGGACACCTACAGCGGTGGTCCGACCAACGTCGGACCTGTGCTCATATCGTAAACCCCGGGGTCGTTATGTCATGTCTATGACGATCTTCGGGGGAACGAGGGCCTTGGCTTAACCGCCTGAGCTGCGAGGATGGGGATCTCTAAAAAAAACCCCGCCAATCTCAAGTTTTGGGCCGCGGCGAGGAGATGGATGGCCGGCGGGTTAGTCGGTCACTAGCGGCCCACCACGGGGCACCTGGCGAACCCCGGGCGTACAAATCGCCCGGCCCCAGCCGAGGGAGCACCGGCTGGGGGGTACGTACTTCCTCCTACTTTTAGAGCCCGCTCTGTACGCCTTCGGGTCATAAGAGGTGGGCAACTCAAGAATGGCTCAATCTAAACAAAAACAAATGGTAGTGGAGGGTGAGGGAGAGGTGGTAGTGAAGGCGTATGCCTCCGTACTTTGTGGGCGGAATATGCCCATAGCTGCGCCGACCAACAGCGCAGCGGGATGGACTCCTATGGCTAAGGCCTTAAGGGAGGTCCAGGAGGCCATAAACGGCCTCCCTAGGGAGGAAGATCTCGGGGTGACCAACTACCCTGAGTGCGCCGAGAAATTGGCAGGGCCACCATCAGCCTAGTCACGTTCCTTTGGGGCGACAACGCCCTCTAATAGTGCCTCTCTAATGAGGTTGCGCGGGGGAGCTGGATCCGAGGACTCGGACCAGGAGGTGACGGAGGTCGAACGCACGACCTCCACTGGGGCGAAGGCAGCGAGCCGCCCTGGCCCGTTAAGTGCCAGTACGACACGCCTGTGGGGAAAGAAGAGGAGGCTCAACCCTCTCTCCTCTTCTCCGTCCCCTGACCGGGAGATTGAGGTGGTGGGCGAGCCCTCTAACTCAGGCTCCTCCTCGAAGAACGGGGACATGGAGGGGGGGGAACCGTTGTTCCGTAGAAAGAAGAAGTATGGCAGGGGGCGTCCCCCGAAAGACCCTTCGCACGAAGGGTGTTTCACGGCAGAGGCCCTAAAGGCTAAAAAGGTCTTTGCTAAAAGACTGATGCAGGGAAGGGACGAAGAGCTCGCCCTGGATCCTTCCGCGGTACTGAAGTACACAAATAAGGTGACTCGGTGATGAATGTGGAGGCGGAGGAGCATCGCCGCCCCTCCTCCTCCCTCCCCAGCGGCCGAGACAGGGGAACAGCTGGACCCTCCCGGACTCCGGGAGTGGTTCCCAACGAGGGGGGCCCTAAGGCCCCAAACAAGAAAAAGAAGAAGAAGAAGGGGAAGAAGGGGAAGAAGGGAGCTGTGCCCCAGGTCCTCCCAACCCCGGGAGCTCCCCGAGCAAAGGGCCAGCAAAGTGTCCAGGCGGGCCCTGCGGGCCAGAAGGGGGGTCCGAAGGGGGGAGTCGCTGCCTGCTCACGGGAGGCGGGAAAACCGCGGCCTGACAAACTGGTCACGACCCGCTCCTCCTCTCAGCCATTTACGTTGGACGGCTGGAACAAGGTGGTGGGCAAAGAAGCCGCAGTCGACCCTTTCGCAGTTGACCTCGGGGGGGAGGGAAACCCTCCCCTCCTGGCGGAAAGACCTAGCCCCCCAAGGGGAAGAAGGAGGTGGGCAATCGTCCACCACCGGATTCCTCGAAGGAGACTGGAAGGGAAAAACCCTCCACAGACCCGACTGGGAAGACAGGAGGGAAGAGTGAAAAGGGTGCACCGCGCCTGAAGGCGCCAACGTCAGCGGCGGTGTGCATCACCTGTCCGGCTGGCAAATACAGCGAGGTGATGCGCACCGCTAGGAGTAAGATTCCCCTTTCCGAGCTGGGGATTAATAACCTCAAGTGCAAGAAGGCCATTACCAGGGCTCTCCTGCTCGAGGTCCCCGGCCCGGAGGAGGACAAACTCGCCAACACCCTGGCCGCAAGACTCACTGTGGTGCTGGCGGGAGAGGAGGGAGTTTGGGTGGACCGCCTTTTTAAAAAGGCGGAGGTCTGCCTGCCTAATTTGGAGGACTCTGTCACGGTCGCAGACATAGCGGCAGCCGTGGCAGACATCTCGGAAGGGAATCCCTCCGATTTGAAGGTGGGGGGGATAAAGAGAGCCCCCAACGGTCTGGGAACCGCCTGGGTACGGTGCCCCGTCTCTGTGGCCAGAAAGGTCGCGGAGGCGGGCCGCATCCTGGTCGGCTGGGGAATGGCCCGGGTAGAGGTGTTGGCGGCAAGGCCCCTGCGCAGTGTTTCCGCTGCCTGGAAGAGGGGCATGTCCGCCAGCACTGCCACAGCGACGTCGACAGGTCCGGCGTCTGCTACCGCTGCGGCGGCCCGGACCATCGAGCCGCTGAGTGCACCGGATGTGTTGTTTGCCCGGTGTGCTACACGGCCGGAAAGGAGGCGACACATCGATTGGGCGGGGAGGCGTGTATCGCCTCCCAAAAGAAGAAGGGGAAGGGAAGAAAAGGGGCGGGGAAAGCCCGAGCCTCGCCTCCCTCCCTCTCCCCACAGGTAGGCGGCCCACAGCAACCGGTCTCCCTGGAGCCGGTTGCGGGGCCTTCTGGGTTGGGCCAAGCAGCCCCTTCCCGAAGGAGAGGAGGGACACCAGAAGGCCTAGGAGAGAGGAAACTGGCCCATCTGCACCTAAGGACCCAAGGGTCCTCACCGAGGTGCAGATGGAGGAGACTCGTCCGCCGACAGCAAGCGGAGAGACATCGGGGTGGGGGCGGAAACAGCTCCCGAGTTAATGGAGGTGGCTGGCCTGGAGGAGGCGAACACGGCACCCAACAATGGCGTTTAAACTCCTCCAGGCCAACCTAGGCCACGGGAGAATCGCCCAGGACCTGTTCCTCGACTCGCTCGCCGAGCGGGGGGGCAGCCTTGGGCGTGGCGTCCGAGCCCTACCGGATCCCGGTCGATGACACTCATTGGTTCGAGCTCCCGGGGGGGCTCGGTCGCAGCTTACTGGAGGAGCTGCCAGAAATCTCCCCGGCCGAAGCTCATAGAGGCCGAGGAGTTCCTGGTGGCGCTGAAGTGGGGGGCCCTGGTAGTGGTCGCCCTTTATGCTCCCCCAAGGTGGACGGGGGGCGACTACGAGGAGCATTTTAACAGGGTGGCGGTGGTCATCAGACGGTGTGCCCCCCACCCTGTGGTGGTGGTCGGGGACTTCAACGCCAAATCTGGCGCGTGGGGTTCCCCGGTCACCAATCATCGTGGTCGGCTCACCGAGGCCTGGGCGGCGTCGACCGGCCTTCATCTTCTCAACGAAGGCTCGGTGAGCACCTGCATGCGCCCGCAGGGCGAATCTATCATTGACCTCACATGGGTCAATGTCCCTGCGGTGCGCGCGGTGGGGGGTTGGAGAGTGGCGGAGGGGATCGACACTGGTTTCGACCATCTCTACATAGAGGTGATCCTCTCCGCCATCTCCCCCGAGGTGCTCCGGCGCCGCCGGGAAAGGGAGCGCGGGCGGCTCGGCAGATGGGCCCTCCGCAAAATGGACGAGCACGCGCTCAAGGCGTCCATCGCCGCGGCGGAGTGGGCTCGAGGGGACGATCCCCCTCGAACATTCTGTCCCCGGCCGATGTGGAGGAGGAGGCGGAAGAACTCGGGGCAGATATGGAGAGGGCGTGCGACGCCTCCATGCCCCGGGTCCGCCCCCACGCCCTTCAGGTCCGCGTACTGGTGGACGGAGGAGACAGCCGAACTTAGGCGCTCCTCCGTCCAAGCTAGAAGACGCATGCATTGGACCAGAAGGGCGGGGAACGTCGCCGAGGCGACGAGGGCGCGCAGGGCTTTCCGCGCCGCACGATAAGCCATGCGTGTAGCTATTATGAAGGCCAAGGCCAGGGCCTGGGAGAACTTGCTCAAGTCCCTGGACAAGGACCCTTGGGGGCGTCGACAGCATAATCTTGCAAAGATTGTGACCCTGGGCGCCCACGGTCACGGAAAGTCTCGAACCCCCACTCCTCGACAATGTGGTTGGGGCCCTTTTCCCGGATGAGGGGTCGCCGCCCCTTCCGTACGAGGGTCCCCCGCCGGACTGGAACGAGGAGTGGGAAGTGTCCGGGGACGAGTTGACCCGGGCGGCCCGTCAGCTCGGCGGGGCGAAAAAAGCCCCTGGGCCGGACAGGGACCCGGGCCGAGCATGGGCCCTGGTCTTGGGCGATGTCGGGGCTCGCCTGAAGCACCTCTTCACCAGGTGCTTCAGGACGGGCACATTCCCCAGTCGGTGGAAAAGGGGGGGGGGCTGGTCCTCATACCCAAGGTGGGCCGGCCCCTAGACGCCCCTTCCGCGTATAGGCCCATATGCCTTTTGGACGAGGTGGGTAAATTCTTCGAAAGGATCGTGGTGGCCCGCCTCGTCCGGCACCTTTCTCGGGAGGGCCCGGACTTGAGCGACGCTCAATATGGCTTCCGCGTTGGCCGCCATTCTCCGTGTGAGGGCCTTCGCGGAGGGCGAGAAGGAGGGGAAGGTAGTTGCGGCAGTTTCGTTAGATATAACGAATGCCTTCAACTCCCTCCCCTGGGACCGGGTAGAGGAGGCGATGCGATATCACCGTTTTCCCCTCTACCTGGTCCATATTGTCCGGGCCTATTTCCTGGAGAGGACTCTGGAGTTCGTCGACCGAGACGGACTCCAGCGCGGAAGGGGCATGCGGTGCGGGGTCCCGCAGGGGTCCGTCTTGGGGCCCCTGTTGTGGGACCTCGCATACGACCGCGTCCTTAGGATACCCCTTCCCCTGGGCAGCACAGTCGTTTACTACGCGGACGACACGCTAGTGCTGTCCGGGGGCGCCGACTGGGGGGAAGCGACGGCCCAGCCAATGTGGCCGTCGAATGCGTCGTACGCTCTATTCGGGCGCTGGGCCTGAGGGTGGCTCCCAACAAGACCGAAGCGTTATTCCTGCACGCTCGGTCCAAGGGGCCGCCCCCACAAGCCCACATTACGGTGGAAGATACCCGCGTTGTGGTGGGGCCCGCGTTGAAATACCTGGGCCTCACCCTGGATGGAACCTGGGGCTTTGTCGAACACTTCGAACGACTTAGCCCCAGGTTGGGCAGGATGGCGGGCGCGCTTGCCTGTCTCCTGCCCAACTTCGGTGGTCCAAGGACAATGGTGAGACAGCTGTATGCCAACACGGTGCACTTAATGGCCCTATACGGGGCCCCAGTGTGGGCGGGTGAGATGGGGGTCAGCCGGCGCATCAGAGCGCTAGTCAATAGCGCCCAGCGCGTCATGGCCAACCGTCTCACCCGCGCTTATCGGACCGTGTCGCATGCATCCGTCACGGTCCTGGCCGGCACGATCCCTGCGGACCTCCTCGCTAGAGTGTACGCTGACACCCGCCTGATGAGGTTCCGCGACGAGGGTGAAGCTCTGTCGGCCGGGACCATAGGGCGGATCCGAGCCCTGGCCCGGTGTAAGGCCCTCCGACGCTGGAAAAAACAACTCGGGGAGCCCAACGTGCCGGGCAGGCGGACCATCGAGGCCATCCGCCCCTGTCTCCTCGAATGGGTGGACAGGGGCCACGGCGGGTTAAACTTCCACCTGACACAGGTGCTTACCGGGCACGGCTGCTTCGGTGAGTACCTGTGTCGCATAGGGAAAGAGCGTACGGCGCATTGCCACTACTGTGCGGCCGATCAGGACACCGTGCAGCACACCCTGGCTGAATGCCAGGCGTGGTCTGCCGATCGCGGTGTCCTAATCGCAGTAGTTGGCGGCGACCTCTCGCTCCCGGCCGTAGTCAAAGCTATGGTCGGGAGCAAAGAGGCCTGGGAGGCGGTGGTCTCCTTCTGCTCCTCCGTTATGGGGCGGAACGAGGCCGCCGAAAGAGTTAGGAGGGGGGAGGTGGAGGTTGTACCGCTCCCTCTCTCCACCTCCTCTTCGGAAGAGGATGAGGTGCCGAGGAGGCGTGCAAGGCGGGGTCGCAGGTGGCGTCCCCGCCCCCTCCCCTCCCGCCCACCTCAGATACAGAGTCCCGGAAGGGAACCCCAATTAAGGGGTTCCCCTCCCACCTACGGTAGGAACGCCTTTACCTGCGGGCGGCCATGGGAGGGGAGGACTTCTCCCCTTCCAATCCCCCCGGCCGCCCGCTGCCCTGACGGGCCACTCCGGATTAACTCCGGAAGTTGGAGTGGAGCCCACCCACGGAGGGGCGGGCGGGGACGCTCGGATCGCGCCCTCCGATCTCGGAG